CTAGAAAACGGCTATGATGGTAAAAATACGAAGACGAACAACGCAAGGAACAAGGACATGAATACCGGTAACATTGTCATAGGAAAGGGTGATTTAAAGATAAAAAATACAAAAAAAGGCAATAGAAACACATATCCAAAAGATCACTTAATGGTAGGAACGTGGAACGTAAGGGGTACTTTTGAGGAAGGAAAACTGAAACACTTAACTAAAGAAATTGAAAAGTTTAAATTTGACGTAGTGGCACTACAAGAAACAAAGCAACTGGGTCAGGAAATGCTGGAAATTGAAAATAGCTTATTTTTTAATAGTGGAGGCAGAAACAGAATATTAGGCACAGGATTTTTGGTAAATAAAGCGTTAAAAGCATCAATTGTAGAGTTTAAACCAATATTTGATCGTCTATGTTGTCTAAGAATAAGAGGAAAATATCAAAAAATCACATTCATTAACATTCACTCACCGTCAGAAGAAAAAGATATTGAAGTAAAAGAGGACTTCTACTGTGAAGTTAATAGGGTATTTGAAAGTATTCCAAGATATGACATTAAAGTAGTACTGGGGGGCGCAAATGCAAAGATAGGAAAAGAAGAAATATATAGAATAACTATAGAAAATTTAGCAAACACGAGGAAACTAATGAGAACGGGCAGTTTTTGATAGATTTTGCCAAAGAAAAAAATATGCTAATAATGAGTACATATTTCGAGAGAAAAAGCATCTACAAAGCAACATGGCGATCCCCAGATGGAAAAACATTAAATCAAGTTGACCATGTACTAATAGAGAGAGAAGACCGAAAATGTATAAAGAACGTGCGAACATACAGAGGACCAGACGCTGACTCGGATCACTTCATGTTAGGAATTAAAATGGCTCAACTGATACCGGAAGAAAAAAATCGCAAAAGAAAAAATAAGAACACAAATAAACCAGTGCGGCTTGTAACGCAAGAAGAACAAGAAATGTATAGAAAAGGTATCGATAGAAAATTAAATGAAATACACCTAGAAGGGCACATAGACAAGGACTGGGACAAAATTCAGCAGATTATCAGTAACACAGCTAAAGAATGCAATAAAAATATAACTAAAAAGAAAAAGGATTGGTTTGACGAAGAATGCCAGAAGGAAATTGAAGAAAGAAGTAAACTAAGGATGGATATGATCAAAAGTGATACGGAAGAAACAAGAAACAGATATGAAAAACAAAGAAAAATCGTAAAAAAAGTTTTGAGAATGAAAAAGAGAAAGTACATGGAAAATCAGCTGAAAGAAATAGAAGAAAATTACAAAAATCGAGAAATTAGACATTTATACCAGGGAGTAAAAAATGAAAAAAGAGGATACCAACAAAAAACAATATTTTACAAAGATAAAGAGGGAAACGCCATTAGTGGAGAAAATGAAATAGCCGCTAGATGGAAAGAATACTTCGATGAATTGCTAAATGACGAAAACAGGATAGAACAGCAACAGCCTATAAGAACGGAGAAACATAGGAACCAAATAAATGAGACAGAAGAAACACCCCCTACCAGAAACGAGATAAAGGAAATAATAAAGAAATTAAAAAATAACAAGAGTCCAGGAAGTGATAATATAACTGCAGAGATGTTCAAATATGGAGGGAAAACGCTAGAGGAGCAAATGTCCAAATTAATAAAGGAGATTTGGATTAAAGAACAACTACCACAAGAATGGACAGATGCAATTATATGCCCACTTTATAAGAAAGGCGATAGGACAGATTGTCAAAATTACAGAGGGATATCACTATTGAATACTGCATACAAAATTCTTGCAGCGTGTATAAAGGACAAATTGGCAGGAGTGATAGAAAACATTGTCGGCGAGTACCAATGTGGCTTCAGACCTGGTAGAAGTACAACAGATCAGATATTTACGCTCAGAGAATTGCAAGCGGAAAGTTATCAACACAATCTGCCGACAAGGGTCCTCTTCATTGATTTCAAACAAGCGTACGATAGAATAAAACGGAACCAAATGAGCAAAGCACTAGAAGAATTGGGTATCAGTAGAAAACTTATAAGAATGATACAAATAACGTTGTCCAAGACTGAGAGCAGAGTTAAAATAAATAATATAATGTCGGAAAAATTTGAAGTCAGTGAAGGAGTAAGGCAAGGAGATCCCCTATCATCGATACTATTCAGCTTGTGTTTGGAGAAGGTCATACGAGATGCAAATGTCAACAGAGAGGGATTGTTATACCAAAGAAAGCACCAATGTCAGCACCTTTGCAGACGATGTAGTAATACTGGCTCGAAGCAAATGGGAGCTACAAAAAGTAGTAAAGAGGCTAGATAGAGAGGCAAAGAAAATAGGCTTAGCCATCAACGAAAGTAAGACAAAATACATGGAATGGATAGATGACAGTGAACAAAAAGGAGGAAATCTAAAAATAGAAGTAGAGGGTGAAAAAGCATATATATTTGAAGCAGTGGAAAGATTTACATACCTGGGGTCGATGTTCACATGCAAACCAAATATTAGAGAGGAGCTCCAATCAAGAATAATGGCAGGAAACCGATGCGTGTACTCCTTAAACAGGCTATTAAAAAGTAAACAGATATCTAGGAATGCCAAAATAAGGATTTACAAAACAGTTATACAACCAGTGGTAACCTACGCCAGTGAAGTGTGGACACTGAACTAAGGCGAAACAGGTATGCTCGAAATATGGGAAAGAAAGGTTTTGAGAAAGATATTTGGAGGCAAGATAGTAGACAATACATGGAAAAGAAGAACAAATAAAGAATTAGAAGATATGTACAAGAATCCTAGTATAGTGGGAGTAGTAAAGGCTCAGAGACTCAGGTGGCTAGGGCACATAGAAAGAATGACAAATTCTCGAGTACCAAAAATGATTCTGATGCATACAATGGGTACAAAAAAAGAAGAGGAAGGCCGAGAAGTAGATGGAAGCAAGAAGTAGAGAAAGACCTAGAAACACTGGGAATAGAAAGATGGAAGGACAAGGCTAATAATAGGAAGAAATGGAAAACAATAACAGCTCAAGCCATGGGCCTACTAGGCTCGTAGTGCTATTATATATATATATATATATATATATATATATATATATATATTATATATATATATATATATATATATATCTTAGTTAATGAATATTTTATTTTAGCCCTTTTTCTCAATGGAACATTAAATTTTACTCACAGTTAAACTTCAAGAAATTCTTCTATTCGACTTTCTGGTGCAATTGTTGACAGTTGAGAATTTGTATTATGAATGAACTGTAGACTTCAAACATTTACGAATTAGTGTATGAAATCGGCTATCTGGGAATCTAGGCTTTATCAGAAATTTTAGAGGAAAATATGTAGTTTAGAAATTAATAATTATTAATTGTATTGTTTTATTGCAATGAAGTTTTTCTTTATTTTTTTGTAATTTAACTGTGTCTCATTGTAATGTAATTTAATAAAATTGTACCTACTATACCTACCCTGTCAAAATACGCAAATCTCAATAAAGTTACCATAAAAAGAAATTTATTCTTTATTTTCTTACCTTCAAAAAGTCCTGAGACTGCAGAAATAAATTAAAAATATAATTATTAAAATAATTATAAGGAAAAACTTAAAAAATATCTACAAAAACAAATAATGAAGCCCGTGAGCTTTATTTAAATAATCTCTACGCACATCATCTAGGTCTAGAAATATATAAACTGATGGTATAACTTTGGGAACCAAAATACTTTAAATCAAGTTTTCGAGAAGAGTTTTGACACTTGTTTTCCATGCTTGTTTCATGTGTGGATATACGATTTACATAAAAAAATCGGTATTTGTAAAATATTTATGCCATTGAATAAATTTGAGAAATCTTAAAACACAATAAAATCAATCAATGATAACAGCTTTTATATAGACAATAAAAGTTATATTAAAAAGGGACTTATGTATAAGAAGAGAAGTATGTATATATATATATATATATATATATATATATATATATATAATATATATATATATATATATATATATATATATATAATATTACGAGGTTATACCAAAGATACCAAAATAAAAATACCTTCTATCTTATATCCATTTTTATATTCACTTGCACTCGCTCCCAACCATTGGCGTACTTTTCATCGAGCAATAAGACAAAAGAGGGAATGTAAAGGTAGTGGGGGTAAACATATTGATAGACAGGAAGTGCCATCTTGAGAGGCCACTTTAGACAAGGATAGACAGTCTCTTTCCTTGTTTAAGAAGTCAAATTTAGTTAGGTTATGTTATTGTTTGTCCCAACTGTCACATGAAATTTTATTTATATTGAAATATTTTACCAATTGTGTCACTTTTTAGACTATTATAGTTAATATTTAATTAAAACTTTCTCGTCTGAAAAATATTTTATAGCTATTGTTAATAAGTGTTGGAAAATTTAAATTTAGCGCCTTTGGATTTCCGGATATGTCCGCCATCAGAGGCCACTTTTTTGGTCTCCTTTTCATAACGATTAGATTCCCTCTTTTATCTTTTTGCTCGATGGTACTTTTGTAAAACACAAAAGGGGAAAGATGGTCAGGAACTCGACTGCTGGAAATTACACACCAATCAAAAATACAGAATATTGTCAGTAACCATCAAAAGCAATATATATTGGCCACTTGTCTACAAAGAATAAATACTGAAAAATACAGACTGTATCGGCGAGATATTCGCTAAGATTGATACACTACTGAAGAAACTAAATCATTAGAAAATAAGATCAGTCGGAGTCAAAATAGCAGTACGCCCTTCTAACGTTGCTATAAACCATAATGTTTATTTGAGATTCTATATTATGATTGATCAATATGGGAATATCGAAATAACAAAAAATAACGATCTATCAAATATTCGTATCAAATTAAAGAAAATAGTAACAATTTATAAGAAATCAATTTATTTTAATTTGAATATAGAAATAAATTGACTAATAATTTACTAATTTGCTTACTTTGCTGTCTTCTTTTCCAGGCCTTAATCCTGAGGCCAGCATATACGTACTACCTATAGTTTTAATTTTCTCTATACAACTGAATTTTGGTTTTAGCAGCAACTGAAAAAAATAAAGATTTACATTACAAAAATAATTTACAAAATGTTTAAGAAAACTGAAATCAATTATAATACTTCTTCTTCACGTGCCATATTAGTTATCCGACGTTGGCGGTCACCATTGCAAAGGCTTCTTGATCTTCTACCACATGAATTAATTGCCCTGTATTTAATATTTCAGTCTATTCACGAATGTAGATATTATTTAAATGGAAATAAACCACAATTAAAGGTTTAAGTAAGTTTATTGACGTTTCAATTTCCACTTCGGAAATCGTTCTCAAAATACAAACATTAGTGTTATCACTAATGTTAGCATTATCACTAATGTTTGTATTTTGAGAACGATTTCTGAAGTGGAAATTGAAACGTCAATAAACTTTCTTTAACCTTTAATTGTGGCTTATTCCCATTTAAATAGTATCTACTTTAAAATGCCAGGAGAAAATAGCTTCAGAACAATATTCACGAATGTTTTCAACCAAGAAACCTGTTTTCTTCCTATACTTCTACGGCCTTCTATTTTGCCTTTAATGATTAGTTGTAGTATCCTATATCGATCTTTTCCCCACTATATGTCTCAGATAAGACATTTTACGATATTTAACAGTCTTTAACAATTCTGTATCTTTGTTGACCAGACTTAGTATCTCCTCATTAGTTTTTCTTGGTTTCCAAGGTATCTTCAGCATCCGCCTATGAATCCATATTTCCAATGCTTTCATTTCGCTCATATGTTATAGTTTTAGTGTTCACACTTCTGCTCCATACAAAAGTACAGACCAAATATAGCACTTAACTAGTCTTTGTCTTAATTCTAAACTGAGATGATTATTGCAAAAAAATGTCGTAATTTTCATAAAAGTAGTTTTAGTAATTGCTATTCTTCGTTTCAATTTTAGGTCTGGATCTAGTTGGTCCATTATGACAGTTCCAAAATATGTAATTTTGTAAACTTTTTTAATTTAGACTCCTTTTATTTGAAGTTCTGCATCTGGATGTGGGTTACGACTAAATACTAAAAACTTTAATTAAGTTTTCCTCTTTTAATGCCTATTTTAGCCCTCTATTAATTGCCTTTTAATATTAATGCCCATTTCCTCTCCTACTTCGCGAATACGATCAAGCAGAATTTGGAGACCTTCAATATTTAAGTAGTGTCTCATTGATTTTGATAGTGATATTATCCATGATCCATATATTGCATTAACAAGTATTACTAGTATTTTTATGTTATCTTCATCTATTAGCTTTAGCAACTCAGTTGGTGTATCATCGGGACCACAAGATTTCCTATTTTTAGCATTTTGTAAAATGTGTTTTACCTCTGATTTCATAATTTCTTGGCCGTCAGTACAATTCTGGTATAATTCGGTAATATTATTTCTGCCATCTTCAAACAACCCTGATGTACACAGTTGCCATTCTCTTCTTATTTCGTTCTCATGTACAATAATTTTATTGTTATTATCAACTAGTACAGAGGGAACTCATTTTTTTTTAAATATGTAGCTTATTTCTTTTACTTTTTTGCGAACATAGTCGTGCTTAGATATCAAATTCTCGATTTCCTCGCACCTTTCTCTGATCAATTTTTATTGGGCTAATTTTATTTTCTTTTTAATTCTTCTCTGTAGGTGTTTATATTCTGCTTCATTGGATTTTATAAGTCGACGTTGTCGACCTTTTGATGATTATGAATACACATTGGCACCCAACGCATAAAACCTAGACCTTGATGGTTACAATAGTGTAATATTTTTTAAATCCTCACTTACTTACGTTTAATTAGGAATATCTCAAATAAGTTGGTAGCCAAATCAATGTATATTTTTTATTCTCTAATTTATTGGGAATTATCTATTAATGTCGCTGAATCTTTGCACAAGTATGACTTTATTCATAATAAATTTTTATATTACGTCTCTTTCATACTCACAGAAACTAAAACGATGCGAAAATTTTAGCCGCCTATTTACATAGAACAGCACACATCGAACAAAGACAGTCATATTATGACGATGGTCGGTGATTAATTCAGCTATTGGCCATTATTGCAAGTTTTTGAATAAACAGTTATTATAACAATTAACTGTTACCTTTGTGTTCAAATTAAGAAAGTAAGTATTTATTTATTAGATAATTACAAGGAATAATATCTTTTAACCTCTAAATTGACATTAAGTTATTTAAATCTGACTAAAAACACGTCAACAGAGTAATCTGAAATATTTTTAAGGGTTTTTATTTTCAGAGTGTGTCTCGTAAACCATTAAATTCTCAAGCACAACAAGTTTAATTGTGTTGGAGTATTTCGGATTATAAAAATTAATGGAGGTCTTTGGAGCTATTTTGAAATATTAAGATGTATATTCGTTTATCAAAACAAAGCAAATAATCATATTCTTTCAAAGTCAGGCAATTGTAGACCTAGTTCGAAAAACAAGACAACCGATCCAGCTGAGGGATCAAAAATGGCAGTACGGAATACAGTACTGACAAAGTAAATACTAATTTTTTCAATGTAAATTTGGTAATAAACCACAAGGTACTTTCCAGTATTATGTATGCTGTAAAAAAGATCGATGAAAGTAGTTTAAGAAAATTTGTGCTGAAGACATTGATTCATATTAAGCCAATTTTCTTGTCAGTTTTGTAATTTGAAATAATTAATAGTTTTGACAGACGATTAGGATAATCATTTAAATTAAAAAGAAAATATAATTGAAAAATGAAAAGCCAAGTATTTATTTTCTATACATTGAACTAGTTAGTACAGTACGTTTTATTCTGTACTTATTTGTTTTTTAATTTTTATTGGAAAAAGATGTTAGTCTGCTAAGTATAAGTAATTAATTAATGGATAAATATGTTGTATTTATTTGCCAAACATATGTTATAATTTTTTTAAAAGAATTGGGATTTAAATACAAAACAGACAATAATCAAAGTGCAGTAATTCGACGTATCCGGCTTTAAGAGCCAAGTTATTTCGTAAATACATGAAAAATCTTAATAGTGTACATCCCAGAGACTTTATTATTTTAGACTAAATGTGAATTTATTTCTTAAGCGAGAGTATCTTATTACTAAGGAGAATAACATAATTTCCTGACAAGACAAGAGTGCTAGAAGTGTAGTAAACCAGAGGGTATGTAAACGTTTTATAATTGTTTACGCTGGTTCTTCGAAAGGGTTTGTTATATACTGTCACAGTCATTTCCTAATAGCTACTTTTTAAAGAAATTTTTGGAGGACGGCAGATTTTGTTTATCGTTTATAGCTAGTCTTGACACTTAAGTAAACAAATTAGGAACCAATAAAAATGTTGAAAAGTCTAAAAGTCTAATATTAAGTGTAGCTAAATATTTATCCTGCTAATAATAAGATTATCTCTCCTTTATTACCGATCTAATAATATTATACTTTACCTTATCAAATTCACAAATTATTTCGTTAAGTAGCCGCAAACACTCGAGCCCTTGTTTATTCACATCGCTTTCATCATAGAATTCCTTGTAATTGGGGATAGATGCGAACATAACAGCGACGCAGGAATACCTTTCGTGGTAGAGATCTTCAGTTATCCTGGTATTCAAGAAATGCTCGGCTACGTGAGCGGGAAGGATATTTTCAAGCAGAATCTAAAAATAAAGATTTATCTTTAGATATATACTTTTACAGTATTTAAAAATATATTGTACCACTAAATTAAATACCAACTAAATTATTCGCTTAACACACATATTTAATTGCAAAATACGTCACAAAATTATCTATGTATTTTATTACAGATTACAGTAAAATAAACTACCAACAAGACTATTGTGACTAGATATAATTTAAAGTAAAAAAATGCTTATCGTATTAGAAAAATAGAAAATAACAAATACCCTCAGGCGCCCAACCGAGTTAACTCGGGCCTTATCTTTAGTATTAAGTAAGAGAAGAAAATCACAATTCACGTACTTTAAATTTTGGTAACAGTATGATACCGGGGTAAAGGGGTAGAATGCGAAACCATGGAGTTGCTTCCAGTTTACTCCACTTAGCCTCTTCTACTTAAATCCGACTCTCACCTTCACGTTGGTGCCCCTTGTTTAAACCGAGCAACCCAACTGGAGATCCGGTATCCAACCCGGGTGAAAAGTTGGATCGGAAACTGACAAGAGTGGGTGAACTGATCCTCCAGGTTGGGGGTTTGGCGTAGGGTTAACACCCCGACACCGTAAAAAACAGCATGTTACGAGAATTCAAGGTGATCAAGGTGTCAAAAACCTGACATACTGTATATGTAGACTCGTAGAACTAATCTGGAAGCAAATAAAGTTGCCAGAAGACTGGAATGTAGGTATAATTGTACCTTTCCACTAGAAAGGAGATCAAACAATATGTGACAACTACAGAGGAATAATTCTCCTAAACGTAACATAAAAAATATTGGCGTATATTCTTTACGACCGACTATCGGGATATTGTGAAGACATAATAGGTAAATATCAGTCTGGGTAAAAAAAGATCATACGACCGATCAAATATTCCTTCTAAGGCAAGCTCTGGAAAAAAATATGAGTATGGCATTGATACTCATCACCTGTTTGTTGATTTTAGATGTGCCTATGATAGTGTTGAAAGAAACGCACAAGGCGATGATACTCATGATAGAATTCAGCATACGAGTACACTTAGTAAAATTGGTGAAAGCGACTCTCTCAAGAGTGGAGTGTAAACTTCAATCAAGACGATCATGCTTTCTATTCAATATTGCACTAGAGAAAGCGATAATAGAATCTGGAATAACAACCAGAGGAACTATTATTAATCTCAGCGTACTAGCGTACGCCGATGACATCGACGAAGACGAAGTATATGAAAGTATCAAATTATATGCAAGCAGCACAACCCGAAGATCTAACGATTGGAACATATACTTTCGAAGGAGTAAGAGAGTTTATATACCTAGGCTTACAAATTAATCAGAATAATGCAGTATATTATTATAGCCTATTATGGATTAAAAATTTTTTTAACAACAAGCCTAGTTACAAAAAGAACGAAACTAGTGATATACCTAACTATATATATGTATATATATATATATATATATTTATATATATATATATATATATATATATATATATATATATATAGCGATTGTTTGCAACTTTAATTTTGTCGCTTCTCGCATCCCAATCGCCATAATTTCTTATCGGCCCAGTCTCCTTCTTGTAGACCTCTATTTTCCATTTCTATATGAATATTGGATATCCATTTCTTTCTTGGCCTTCCCTTTTATTTCTCTGTGTAGGTCTCCAGTTCCAAACCTTTCGTGGTATCCTTTCTTCGTTCATCCGTCTCAGGTGTCCATACCATTTTAATTGTTTTTCGGCTATCGTATCCATTATTGTGTTCTTTACTTTCATTCTCTCTCTTATGTTTTCATTTCTTATGTGGTCAAACAAAGTTAACCCGGAACATCTTCTCCAGTGCATCATTTCTGTTGAGAGGAGTTTTTGTGACATATTCTTGTTAAAGACCCACACTTCTGACCCATACGTCAGCACCGGCTGAATCATAGCCTGATATATATTTTTCTTTGTTTTCTTAGTTAGTTATTCCACAGGATCGGATGTAGTGTTTTTATCATGTTTTTTCTTTTCCTATTTTTCTTGTTATATCTTTGTCGTCTCTCCCGTCTTCGCTTAGTGTAACTCCGAGATATTCGTACTGATCAACGTTTTTAATTAATCCGCTTTCTGTTTCCATGTCTTGACCGATGCCTCCTATATTCATGTATTGTGTCTTTTCGGTATTAACCTCTAATCCCCATTTTTTGAATTCGTCTATTAGTTTGTTTATCATGTACGTCATATCTTGTAGGTCCTCGGCAAGAACTACCTGGTCGTTTGCGAAGAGGATTGTGTATATAGGAGTGTCATTTACCCATATGCCCATTGGGCTGCATTTTCTCATCCAATATTTTAAAGCATTACCAAGATATATTTTAAATAGGGTTGGGGAGAGGCAAGAGCCCTGTTTGACACCCTTTGTTTGGGTGAAACCTTGGAAATTTGGTTTCCAACCTTAATATAAGCTTGGTTATCTTGATATAGCTTTTTCACGGCATTTATATATACTGCATTTATACCTGCGTTTTCCAATGTTGTCCATAGTCTCTGCAGTGGTACGGAGTCAAACGCTTTACGGAGATCTATAAAAGTGGCATGAAGTTCTAGTCCTCTTGCTAATCTCTTTTCCGTTAGATGTTTGAGAGTAAATACATTGTCGACACAAGATCTCCCTGGTCGGAATCCACTTTGTTCTTCGATCTCTGTGGCTTCTTTTTCTATTCTGGCTTTCAGAACTCTTTCATACAGTTTGCCAGTGGATGACGTAATGCTGATACCTCGGTAATTACTGCAGTCATTCCTGTTTTCCTTTTTGTAGATGGAGTTTATGTACGAGACTTTCCAATCTCTTGGGATACTTTCTCCTTGTAGGCACTTGTTAAACATTTTACAAAGCAATTCTAATGTTATTGCAGTGGCATGTTTGAATAACTCGATAGGTAAATCACCCGGCCCAGGAGCTTTATTATTTTTCATTTTTTGTAATGCGTTTTTTATTTCTTCTACGGTAATCATCGCCACTTCATTTAACCCGTTTCAACTCTATCTATCTGTGTGTCTAGAAACTGTATACGTTGTTCATTTAATAGATTTTCCTAATAATTTTTCCATCTTTCTATGTCTATGGTGTTTATTTTTTTGTTTCGTTTGTATTTTTTCTAAGACTGTTGATAGTTTTCCAAGCTTATCTGGACCTAGATCCTCCTACCATTGAGCTTATTTCTGCACACTTGTTGTCCCAGGTTGTTTTTTGTTTTTTTAAATTTACTTTTTTACTATATATTTGTATCTGTTATAGTTCTTTCGGTCTTCCTCATCTTTTGTCGCTAACCATTTGAGATACAGTTTTTTCTTTTCTTCTACCAGTTCTAATAAACCTTCTGTCCACCAATAATTTCTACGTTTTTACTTTTTCTTTCGTACCTAGAGCTTCTAATGCTGCTTCATGAATTTTATTTTCAAAGTCTCATACATTTCTTCCGCTGTTCCGTTTATTTCTTCGTCTAATTTTTGTGCCAAACGTAGTTTATAAAGAAAACTTGTGGACTCATTTTTTAAGCTGTCTATGTTATGGAGCAGTGTGGATTCTTTGTTTGTCTGTTCTTGGGAACAAGAACAGACAAACAAATATACTTAACTATACTCTTATCAAACCCCTCCTAACCTACTTCAAAACAATAGAGACAGTAGTTGGTATCCGGTAAGTTCCGCGGAACTGAAAGTTTTTTCGGAAACATGGACGATGACAAAGAGCGATGAAGAACGTTTAAGATGCTTTTAAACGTAAAATCCTCCAGTATATCTATGAAGGAGAACAGGAGGGCGGATTAGGGCGTAGACGCTCTAATTTCGAACTTTACCGCCTACATGACAAACCTGATATTATTAGGTCCATCAAAATAAACTGGCTGCGGTAGTTAGGTTACATAGAGAGAATAAATGAGACGGAGCCGCCAAAACATATTTATAACCAAAGAATAGATGGAGTGAGAAGGAGAGCCAGACCCAGAGCACGATTTAAGGATCAGGTGGAGGAAGACTTGAGAATGCTGGAAGTACGAAACTGGAAAGCCAAGGCGAAGTATAGGAGAGAATGGAGACTTATCCTTGAGCAGGCCAAGACCCAAAATGAGTTGTGGAGACAATGATGATGACGAAGAACAGTACGATACACTCTAAAACAAGGAGTCAGACACAGAGGTACCTCACAGTCAGGGCAGAAATATCTTGTTTCTCTTTTAATCTTCTTTTCACGCGCTTCTCGAACTCTGTTACATACTCAACATTGACGAGTTGGATTTTTTTGTTGCCGTAATCGGAATATAAGTCAAAAGGTGTAAGACTCGTCGATGGACGTCCTTTGCGACATGCGAAATCATCTAGATGATATTTTTTCATTATAAGTTGTATAAGTCTATAAACTAATAATGATTTATTTCCTTCAGTTTTGCGAAATAATACAAAGGAATTCTACAAAGCCAAATTTAATAGGTAAAAGAAAATTTTCTTATAATACTTTTTTCCTCTTTGTCGTGGAAAATTGTAATCTGCTAGATGTCGATCGGCACGGTCGACACCGCCCATCGTATCGTTATAGTCGATAACAACTGTAGACTTAACTTTTGTGTGTATCCTTGATTGAGAAATGGCTTCGACATAGTTATGACTATTTAAGCTAAAACTGGAAGGTCTGCGTAATCTGGATTAAGATTGATCTACCTTCCTGTGTAAATGAGAAAATTCCACACGTAACCACTTTTTGATTCACACAATAGATAGCTTTTATCTTTATTAGACAACACCCTAATATGGGTTTTTATCATTTCAGCATTTATTTAACTTTGTATCGAGACCTGAAGATGCTTTGCATATTGTAGAAAGCGAAACCGGTCGTCTGAATAGTTAAATTAAATTGATTGTAAGTCTTATTTATTATTTCTTTACCTATTTGAAATGAACTCACACAAGCAACACATTCATGAGTTATAATTTAGTTGAATTTAAATTGAAAAAAAAAAAAACGTTTTTGTACCCTTAAAAAATATTTTAGTTAAAAATGTGATGTCGTTAAATAGAGAATTAAATTCTCCTTTAAATGAGGCGTGTCGCATTATACTGATTTATATTTTAAAAAATGAACGATTACGTCACTACACCCACAACCGCTGACAATAGTAGATAAAAATAAACCATAGAAATATAACAGATCTTATTAATACGTTCATTAGTAATTATTACCTTATTAATTCCCCGCATTGTTTCTACCTCATCCTGTTCTACCTTCAATTTAGCTTTCCACAGATAATCTGTTCTGGCAGTGAATTCAATTTGTCTATCCAATATGTGGAAAAATATTACAACTAGTGATAGGGCTAGTGCTGTCTTTATTTCGAATGGTATTGCTGGAAATCTGGAAAGAGGTTTAATATATTAAAAATGTATTCAATATATCTAATATGGTATTGAAGCTATTTTCTTTTTGAAGACATTATTTTATATTAGCTGTATTTTATGGCCTAAACCACAAATATATTTAAACAAATTTAATATTTGACTTTCTCTATTTATACTTCTATTTATACAAATCCGTCAAATACAAAATATTTTTCATTATAATTGTGGTTCATTTCCATAAAACATAGTGGTTGATATGTCAAGTTACACATCACTAATATATGTTCTGTCAGAAAATATGAGATACTGGAAAAATAATCATTTCATTCAATAAACTTTGTTAATGAAAGTTTATGGACAAATCAAAATTTAGCGATTTTGAAATATAACAGCCAAATTTCACATGTAAATAATTATATATTTGTTTAAATCCTTTAAACAAAGGTATATTTATTTAAAAAGAAACCTTTCGGACTACATCACAGAACGTTTTTGGAATGATAATTCCAAATCTGTGCTGTTACTAGGTATACATGAGTGAAGCTACTAAATATATGGGTTAAGCCCTTTAAATGTTATTAAATTTGGTGTATATTACATTGTTGCCGATAAAGTTTTTTAACATATTTACTTCATGACAACGTAAAATTCCCATCTGGGATTGCTGGCCCTAAGATATTGTCTCTATGTATGAACCTTAAGTAGCAACTGTTGCTAATTGTCTATTTGTTAGTTTGCCATTTGACTTTTTAAATATAATTTTTAAACATACTTCGGTTAACGCAGAGTTTAGTGTATTTTTGAAAAGCCATTTGCCTTACCTTGTTTAGAAGGGGACGAATAGGAGTCAAATAAAACAAATCTTATAATGGCAGATCAATGCTAATATAAAAACGGCTTTCAAAGCGACGAAGTAGTTGGAGCTGGAGTATAAGGAGGGAAACCAAGAAAAAGCAAGAAGCACAGCCAAAAGAATGATAGGACTAGGTGGAACAGATGAAAAGTAGCTACTGGCACGAACAAAACGGGTCTCAAACGTTGAAGGTTTTTATACATGAATCTTATATATGAACATTCGAAGAAGAGATCTAAAAGTCTACTAGATATGAATAGGAAAGCTTTTCGAATTATCGTAGGTTGTCTAATAGAATACTCTCGCCTCAAGGGGTACACACATGAAATCGGACAGACAGAAAGCGTGCATTACAGATTTTGTTAGGCAGATAAAGAGACGGTGGAATACGTTTTGGTCAACTTCACACTTACTCAATACCATTACGTTACAGTTGATATTTCGTTACTCAAGTAAAAAGTATATACTTCACATTTTAGTGTTTAAATTACTTATTGATTTAAATTTGTCGTCTGTCTGAAGAGGTTTAAGAGGGTTAAAGTAGTCCAATTTTGTTTTTTTGTTTAATTTATAAATTATGGATTTTGTAACAGGCATAACAGCAGCAGTTAAATTGGGAGTATCTTCCACACTTGCACCTTGATTCTTGTTTTGTGGTTACACGTAACCATAATTTCTTTATTTAAAAAGAATGCATCAGTTTTTGGGTATTATTTCTTCATACCCTTTATTCTATTGAGTTAACTCTTGTACAGTTAATGTATTATTGTACAATACAAATAATTTAATATTTATAACAATTACTATTACATGAGCTTTCCTCATAAAAAAAACTGGATATACTGAATCACATGTATGCAATTCTCAAAAATTAAAAATACTATAGTATAGTTTAAAAATTGTAGTCACTAAATTCTCAAAAATGATAATTAAGTTTTAATGATAACACTGTTGCCAGGTTGTGATTATAGATAAGGTATCCACTTCTATATTAATGATTTACATACAGTCAAATGGTCATAAAATAACAGACTTGTTAAAGTAGTTATGTAATAAAATTTGATAACGCTGAGCCAGAGAAAAGAACAGTAGATCATAGAAGCCGCAAGTTAGGAAAAGATATAGTCTCAGTTTTGGTGTTGCCAGTATACTTCAGAGTCAATGGCGTATCGTTTACACTGTTGAAGTGAATTTTAAAAATTGTATGTACTAAAAAAAGTATTGTATATATCCGGTTTTTAAGGCGTTACGCCTGTCCGGTAGGGATCTATGGAGGAGTATCACCGAGCCGCAAGCCCTTATCTCTTGCCGTACTGCTCCACCATAGGCCGATCAGATCCCAGCATATCCTAGTCTAAGCCGCAGATTCATCTAGAATTTTAAACTGCTGCGTTAGACTTTTTGTTTTCTGTACACCGAGCTTGGGCTCGATCCCATATCCACTAAACCATTCGACAGTGAAGCGAATGAGAGGCAGCCGCACAGCCCGCTGAGCTATCTGACCGACACTAAAAAAAGTATTTCCACTAAATTTATATGTTTTTGCATGTTTTTAAAATATAATTAGGTGTAGCATGTTTAGATTTTAAAGATTAGTAGCGTATTCAGGAGTTATAGAAGAAGTATTTTAATTTGATAATGCATGTAAACAAAACTAACTTACCTATAATTATATAGGGCAATACTGACAAAGTAGACATTCACAAAAGGTCAAAACATTAACTATGTTGGACGTAATTTTTTCTATAGCAGTAGTTAGCAGGTCTTTTATCATCACTCATTTTAAAAGTTAAGTTATACGTCGCTACTTGATTTTTTATTTGAGCCCGTATAAGCACGATAGGATTTTAGAATTAATAGATTTAATACTTCTTCTTAACATATTGTCATCGAATGATATATTTTTATGAGAAAGCAAATTAATGATGTCAGCTTTCCTCCAGGAAGTTGTTGACGATGGCTCCAATTATCGACTATGGTAAGATGTATTGTCCATAACAACGACAGAATTTGGATTGAGGTTTATTAATATCTTTGAAAAACATCCTTAAAATTTTTGAGTGTCCATTACTTCATGATAGTCAATGGCTTTCTTAGATTAAAAGAGTAACAAGCTGTTATCCAAAAAACCCAAATAACTGCCAATGTGTGTTAAAATAAGTGTCTGTCTTACCAATGGATTCTAACTTCAAAATATTGCACATCTCTGAGACAGTAGGCTTTAATTCAACTAAGTTTCGTCTAAATAGTAGATTTTTTTCTTACAGCGGATAATGTCTAAATCTTACAAATAATTTTTGTAAGCCACTGGATGTAAACCTGTAAGAATAAGGCTGAATGGTTACCATCATTTCTTGGAATTTATTGCCTACAGTTTTAGTACTATAATATAGTAATCTGACCATGACCAGACTATATCTAGTCTCATGCAAACTGCTCTTAACGAAATTAAAAGCTGGTGCTCGAAGGAGGGCTTAAGTGTTAACCCCAGTAAAACGACTTTGATACCTTACACAAGGAGACGGAAATACAATTTACAGGCTCCAACTATGAATGGCATCACATTAGACTATTCAAGGAAGTTAAATATCTGGGGGTAACCCTAGATCAAAAACTCAATTGGAATAGTCATATTGAAAAAATTTTATCCAGAGCTTTGGTGGCAAGTTGGACCTGCCGCAAGACATTTGGAAAGACTTGGGGCCTACAACCGAAAATGACTCTGTGGTCATATAAAACAATAATTAGGCCCATGGTCACATACGCATCATTCGTATGGTGGCCAAAAACACAACAAACAACAGCTAACGCCAAGCTGCAAAAAGTGCAGCGGCTAGCTTGTCTGGGAATCACAGGGGCAATGTCAACATGCCCCACTGCAGCTCTAGAGGCGATGCTGAACCTTCCTCCCTTGCAGTTCTGCATAAGGAGGGAGGCAGTAACTACCGCCTTAAAACTGCGACAGACACAAATAATGAAACCTGGAGATCTAGCTGGCCACCTGAAAATCGTGGAAGAAATTCCATTGGATTCTAAGGACATGCCGACAGATGCTATGCCAGTCAAATTCGACTTTGAAACACACCTTTGAAGTGGTCATAAAAAACCACCAAATGGGTGAAGAAATTGAGCCAAAAGTGGAAGAGGGTTCACTCGTATGGTATACGGATGGATCTAAGATAGATGAAAGGGCAGGAGTGGGAGTTACTGGGCCCAATTTCAGGCTATCTAAATCTCTTGGAAACGCCCCAACTATCTTCCAGGCAGAAATACATGCCATAGACATAAGTGCCCAAGAATGTCTCAACCGAGACACTCGTAGGGCAAAAGTCTTTATTTTATCAGACAGCCAAGCCGCCTTAAAGGCTCTAAAGTCATTTACATGTGAGTCAAAGTTGGTTTGGGACTGTAAACAATCTCTCAAGAAGCTGGCGGAACGCAACAATGTAACTGTGATGTGGGTGCCAGGTCACAAGGGAATTGCAGGAAATGAGGAAGCTGACAGCCTCGCAAAAGAAGGAGCTAATACCCCATTCCAGGGTCCGGAACCCTTCTGTGGACTATCGAAAAGCCACATCAGAGAGGAACTCCGTACCTGGGAACTCAATCAACTAAGATCATATTGGTCTAACATACCAGGACAAAGGCAAGCAAAAAGGCTCATAAAAGTGTCGCCTACTGCAACAAACCGCCTTCTCGAAATGAGTAAGAAAGATATTAAAATGGTCACTGGCCTTCTCACTGGTCACTGCCCTCTGAGATATCATCTCAAGAAGATGGGCAAATCAGATAGTGAGAACTGTCGTTTCTGTCACAATGAAAAAGAAACGGCAGAACATATACTATGCAACTGCGTAGCACTGTTCTGCAAACGACTAAAATTCCTAGGAGAGGTGAGTCTGTCGTGCTCTGACATAGGAAACAAGTCACCTAGGAAGCTAATCAACTTCAGAAGTATTGGCATTCTAGAGTTTAACTAGATTAAGGTATGCACAAAAGATCTGTATAGGTCGAAGTGCGGTGAGGCCGCACGGCCTTAACGACCTCACATAATCTAATCTGATCTAATAGTAATCTGATTGATTTATTACACTACGTAATTCTTTTACCAACTTAAAATATAATAGATATTAAGAGACTACCTATAGCTTTTGTTTTCTGACTTTCTTTAGACTGATAATAGTTTAATAATATTATTTTTTATAGAAAATATCTAAATATAAAACTTACTCATCATCGTGGACATCATGATATTCTTGAAAAAATTCCAAATAACTATATATCAAAATATGTACTACAACTGACAACACCATTAGTACGAGTTTCAGCAAAAATCCCATTCTAAGGAAAACCGATATCGCTGCTAAAACCAGTGCCGAACTGTAAAGGTACGTCTGCAAATAAAATATGTATTAATTTATAAGAAACACGTATATTTAAAAACAAAGTTAAATATCAACAATAATAAAACACACGTGACAAACATTTAACAACGAAAAGACAAAAAGGATGGATATATAATATTGATGTTTCGTTCTGCTTAAAGTATAGGGTGAAGTAAGGTATATTCGTGATGTAAGTAAATTCGTGATAAATTTCTAATAATTCGTCACGATCTAGCCTATTGCCTTGTAGCGTTTTTTTATTTAAAGTGTATAGAAAAGATTTCTGTGTTACGCTCCTGTTGTTTTTACCAAAGAAAACAATCGAAATAATATTTCAAGTTTTTTTGACGAGATTTTTAAATGCGTATATTTCTACCGATTCAAAAGTAAATATAGATGTTTTTTTGTCTGTGTTTAGATTCAAATATCGAACCTTTTGTTATAAGCCAGGTAAAACTCAAGTTTAAAATACGCACGTATTTTGTTAATTTGTATTATGTAAATTTATGATGCCCCCTGATAAAAAAAAGGTTTTATTTGTTTTCTTCGTTAAAAACGCAATAAACCATGAATTCCCCTAATATTAAAGTTGTTTTTCGTTATTAGTCGAGGGTCAAAAAAAGAATATTTGTTTGTTTAGGCAATAAAGGAACATTTAAAATTTGTTTTTTTTGTCGATACAAGCGAGGGGATATTGTTTTGGTTCTTGAGTTTGGGGGACAGGTTAGCTGCAAGACGGAAGGGAAATTTTTGGCTAGATTCTGGTAAAATGTAACGAAGCAAGGAAGTCGAGATTTAGATTCCAAGCGGGGCAGACATGTGATAAGAAGTCGACTTAGAGATTTCAAACAGGGCAAACATGTGACAATAGGTCGAGGAGATTAAAAAGAGCAACGAGGTAGGCAGGTGATGTAAGGCAGCTCGAGTTGAAAGGACTTGGGCATTTTTCATAAACAGCCGGTAATTTTGTGTAATGGGTTAATTAATCAGACCTGTAAACAGTGGACTCTCCGTAAACATGACGGATTAGCATAGAGAAACCACTAAAAGGATTTATGCAGTATACCAGAACATGGTAAAATTTTAAAGCAGTACATAGGGTGTGCCACCAGCTTCGTGTGTCATCTGTTTGCCCCAACCTCGTTCCTGAGTATAGAAATGTTTCCTATGTCCCAGTTAGAGGATTTGTACAAGTAGCTTCCAGTCAGAGATGTAACAAGTTTTTTTTTTAAGTTGAGTGACGAAATATGTAAATTTTAAGGTAACAATTCAATATATTAATTTTCAAAGTAAAGACAGATATTTTTTGGCTAAAGTAATAATTGCTTTCATTCTTTGTCATCAAAATTAAATGTGATACCTGACAGCAAGCTTAATTTGTTTTTTTGTTATGACAATTTTAATTTGATTATTATGTAGAAACGATATTTCATATATAAGGTTAAATTTATATGTTTTCATTAAGAAGGATCCTTAATTTTTGATAATCTAATTGGCCATAATATAGTAAACAAAGAACATGTAAGTTTTTGTTATTTGTATTATGTTATATGATATGTTTCTTTTATAATATGTATTTTTGATCTGTTTTGTTTGAGACAAGAATAAATGATTAATTTGTTTCTCTGATCTATTTTTGAGTTTTATTTGAAAAAGATATTTTTTTCTATATTTTTGATGTTATACAATTATTTCCCTAGTTACAACTAGTGGTTGTAATAGGTATAATTGGGCACCTCAAGTGGCGCCCTATATTAAATTTCTTGAGGTGTTTCCGTTTATTTTCATTCTGTTTGTCCCAAGAGATTTGTATAAGTACCCCTTCATTTTTTTTTTTGTAGTTACCCCAATCTAACCCCCAATATCTTCAACTTATCCACGACCCAGCTCTCCAACAACCAACTGAGTGTCCGTATGCACTTGTTTCGATTATTTTGTTTGCTCAATCTTGTCCCCATATTCTTACCCTGTGGTAAGCAAAATAGTCGTTACAATTTTGGCGCCCAACGTGGGGCTTTTGAATATTCCTTAATTTTTAGATTTTTGACCATTTTCCTGAAGCCACATATCTTTTTCAGTTTCCCCAGTTCCCTGCCATTTATATGAAACTTTTTTCCTTTTGAATAGTGCCCCAAAGTGTCTCACAAACAGTAGTGTATTTTGTATTACAATGTATGTATTTTGTACCAACATTATGTATTGTTGTTTTTTCAGGTAATGTACTTATAGTGACATATGTATTGTTCTTCATATATGTAATGGTAAATGAAAGCAAATATTTGAGTTAAATATTTAAATATGAGTTTTAATTGAAGATTTGATATTGAAAAGAATTTAAAAACAGTAGCAAATTATACAGTTACTGTTACATTTATTTTTTTATTGATTCGACAAATTTTACAGAATAATCGGTTTTTGTAATTTTTTATTTGTTGGGTCATTTTGAGTAAATGTGTGTATTCGTTTGAGTGACTTTTGAGCTATGTAGTTGAGAAGTAGTATTATGCAGTTTGTCTTCTAATTAACCGTCTCTGAAGGTGTATTTAAATGCCAAGGGTTAATTAATGTTGTTGTACGAGGGGTAGTCATTGTGAGTCGTAGAGAAGATTCGACAAGTTTAGTCTCAGTAGTAGACTGTTTATTGTGTATCCTTTCTTGTATCGGAATGACCACAGGTGTAATATTTGTGATCAGGAGATGCTGTTTTAGTTTTGACTAGGAGCAGTCTCATTTAGTTTTCGGAACAAGAGTTGGTTTATTTTGGTATTATTTAGTGTAGCTCACTCAAAGGTCAAGTTTTCAATATTATTAGTATTTTGTCTTTCCCTGTATGTACGGTTTAATTTGTTTGTTAGTGTCCATGTTGTCCCATGTTGTTTGAAACCATTTTTTTAGTCCTTGTTAGTGGAAGTGTGAACTTTTAGGAGACAGGTTAAAGACCTCATTTTTTGTTTACCAACTGATTACTAAGTCAAGAGCAGAAGTTGCAGCAAACTGATTGAGTTTTGGATTTCAGTACGCGGGAGTGCAAGTGAGACTTACTATCAGGTGATAAATGGAAACGGTTGTTTCTTAAAATTGTCATATTTTCTACTTGTTGTTGAGGTTGATTTCAGTTATTTTGTGTGTTTGCTTTCATCCAATTTTTAAAAATGAAGTCTACCCAGGTTAATTATTTGAAATCAGGAGAGTTATCTTATGAGCTTTTCATAAGAGGTAAAAATGTCCCAAATAAGACAGTTGATGATAGGAGAAAGATGTTAAGAGCTTTGTTGGCCAAGGAGGCCACTTCGTCTTCAAGTTTAGTCGATTTGGTTAATAATGTAGTAGATCCTAAGGAAGAGTTGAATGAGATCATGTTGATTATAAAAGATTTATATAGTATTGCTCAATCAATGAATGCAGAATCAAACAAAGCTGATTTTGCTAGATTTGAGACAAGGTCTACACATTTAGACGCCAGATTAGAAAATTTCCCTATGAATGATGTTGAGGAAGATGTATTAAAGTTTGTTGAAGAGTGTAAAGATGATTTGTTAGTGTTGAAGGGTAATGTGTTGGAAAAAGAGGAAATGTTTGATGATATAGTAAAACCATCCACTAGTAGCCCAGTTTCAGTCCCTGTAGTTCCCAGTTGTACAGTCCCAGCCCCAATAATACAGGTTTCAACTCCTGTAATTATTTCTGATCTACATATTAAGTTTAATGGTGAGAGTAAAGCCCTTCCCACATTTTTAGAGAAAGTTAGAGATTCTGCTAGGTCTCGGAATATTTCCGAAGACATCCTGTTTCGCTCAGCCATTGAGTTATTTGAAGGTAATGCTGCTATTTGGTATAGGAGTGTTAGAGATAAAATTAATAGTTGGGATGAGTTGGTAGCCCTACTCAAATCTGCTTTTTTGCACCCAGATTATAATGATAATCTCTTGGATGAAATTAAAAATAGAAAGCAAAAAAGGAACGAATCCATAACCATTTATTCAGCAGTGATGGAAAACCTTTTTAAACGTTTGGAAACATATCCTAGTGAAGCCCAAAAAGTAAAAATAATGAGGAAAAATATTTTAGTGGACTACATTCCACTGATAGCCCTTCAAGATTTTGCTACAGTAGAAATGTTAGTAGCAACTATAAAACGTTTAGAGCAGAATGTCCTGCCCTTGTTGCAGACTACTAAAGGTCTTGCAGGTATTTCGATTGATGATTCAGAAAAGCCCAAAGAACAAGTTCATGTGGTGAATAATCAAACCAAGCAAGATAGAAGTGGAGTAGGTAACAGACAGGACAGAGAAAATTCTGTATCTAGGAGACCCAATCCCAAATTTAAGTATGAAAATAATAGACCCAGTCCTCCAGAGAATACTGAAATAAGAAATCAGTCTTTTTCGTCCCCACCCCAATGATGCAATCTTTTTCGTCCCAACCTCCATTAATGCAGTCAGTCTCTTATCAAGCCCTAGAAATCCGAAAAAGATTATTTGTTTTAATTGTAATAAACCAGGTCATATTTCCCGTGACTGTAGAAGTAAGTCAGTATCTTGTTGGCGTTGTGGTCATAAAGGTGTGATCATATCTTCTTGTCCTAAGTGTAGTATTTCGAATAGGTCTAAGTCCAATAGACCTTACAGGTCATCAGTGAACCCAATTTTTGAAAAGAAAGATTTTGATAGCGTTCCCATGTTAATTGTTTAGAAATTGATGTAGATAGAATAGACCCTTGGTTCGATAATTTGAGATCAAAGATAATCCGATCCCCCCTTGATTTTCCACAGTGGAAGGTGGAGAATGATTTTGTTTATAAGTTTGCCCCTACCAAAAATTCTTTTAAGACTAATGATGAGTGGAAAATTCTTGTGCCCAAACCACAAAGGTTTGAAGTTATAAAGTCTTGTCATGAGCCACCTACGTGTGCTCACTTTGGATTTTCCAAAACTTTGTCCCGTATTCAGGAAAGATATTATTGGCCCCAGATGCGTGTTGATGTGCTTAAGTTTGTCAGGTCATGTAAA